TTATTGGGTCGCTTATGTAAACTATTATATCATCTTCAAATAGAGACAGTTTGACTTCTTCCTTTCCAAATTTGGATCCCCTTGATCTACTTTTGTTGTCTTATAGCATTAGCTAGAACTTCTAGTACGATATTGAAGAGATATGGAGAGAGAGTGCAGCCTTGTCTTCTTCCTGATTTTAGAGGAATTGGCTTAAGTTTCAACATCAGTTTGATGTTGGCAGTTGGTTTGCTGTATATTGCTCTTATTATATTTAGGTATGTTCCTGTTATCCCTGACCTCTTCAAGACCTTTATCATGAAATGGTGTTGAATTTTGTCGAAGGCTTTTTCCGCATCTAGGGAGGTAATCTTATGGTTTTTCTTTTTCAGTTTGTTTATATGGTGGTTCACGTTGATAGATTTTCGTATGTTAAACCATCCCTGCAATCCAGGTATGAAGCCTACTTGATCATGGTGGATGATTTCTCTGATGTATTCTTGAATTCGGTTTGCCAGTATTTTATTGAGTATTTTTGCATCGAAGTTCATCAGGGGTATTGGTCTGTAGTTTTCTTTCTTAGTTGTGTCTTTGTGAGGTTGGGTACCAAAGTTATTGTAGTCTCATAAAAAGAGTTTGGCAATGAACCTTCTGTTTCTATCTTGTGGAACAGTTTGAGGAGTAGGGGTATTAGTTCTTCCTTGAATGTCTGGTAGAATTCTGCCTTGAATCCATCTGGCCCTGGACTTTTTATGGTTGGAAGGTTTCGATGACTGCTTCTATTTCATTGTGGGTTATAGGTCTATTTAAGTTGTTTGTCTGTTCTTGATTTAATTTTGGTAAGTGATAGTTATCCAGAAACTTGTCCATTTCCTTTGAATTTTCAATTTTTGTGGAATACAGATTTTCAAAGTGTGACCTGAAAATTGTCTGGATTTCCTCTGTGTCTGTTGTTATGTTCCCCTTTCCATTTCTGATTTCGTTAATTTGCATGCCCTCTCTCTGCTTTTTCATTAATTTGGATAAAGGTTTGTTTATCTTGTTGATTTTCTCAAAAAACCAACTCTTAGTTGCATTGATTTTTTGTATTGTTTTCCTGGTTTTTATTTTATTGATTTCAGCCCTCAAGTTGATTATTTCCTGGTGTCTAGTCCTACGGGGTGATTTTGCTTCTCTCTGTTCTAAGGCTTTCAGTTGTGCTTTTAGTTCTATTATTTGGCTATCCTCTTTTCTTTATATGGGCACTTAGTGTAATGAACTTTGCTCGTAGCACTGCTTTCAAGGTGTCTCATAAGTTCAGTTATGTTGTGTCCTCATTCTCATTGAATATTAGAAAGTCTTTAATTTCTTTCTTTATTTCTTCTTTGACCCAGGAGTGGTACAATTGCACATTGTTCAGTTTCCATGAGTTTGCATGTTTTCTGCTATTTGTGTTGTTGTTGAATTTAAATTTTAAAGCATGGTGGTCCAATAAGATACAGGGGACTATTCCTATTCTCTTGTATCTGTTGAGATTTGTTATGTCACCTGGTATGTGGTCGATTTTAGAGAAGGTTCCATGTGGAGCAGAGAAGAAGGTATATTCTTTTTTCTTTGGATGGAATGTTCTATAGATGTCTGATAACCCCAGTTGAGACATAACTTCAGTTAGTTCTTTTCTTTCTTTGTTGAATTTCTGATTTGTGGTCCTGTCTAGTGTTGAGAGTGGTGTATTGAAGTCTCCCACTATAAGTGTGTGAGGTTTTATATGACCTTTGAGTTTTAGTAATGTTTCTTTTACAAATATGGGTGACTTTGTATTAGGGGCATAGATGTTCAGAACTGAGACTTTGTGTTGATGGATTTCTCCTGCAATGAATATGAAATGATCATCTTCATCTCTTTTGACTAATTTTGGTTTGAAGTTTAACTTGTTAGATATTAGGATAGCTACAACTGCTAGCTTCTTATTTCCATTTGATTGGAAAATCTTTCCCCAACCCTTTACCCTGAGGTAATGTCTGTCTTTGAAGCTTAGATGTGTTTCTTGTATGCAGCATTAGGATGGATTCTGTCTTTGTATCCATTCTGTTAGCCTGTGTCTTTTTATAGGTGAGTTAAGACCATTAATGTTGAGGGTGAGTTAGGACCATTGAATGTTGATGATTGTTTGATTTAGGTTTGTTGTTGGCAGTGGTATTGTGAATATATTAGTTCTGCTTTACCCTTGGTTTCTGGTGTAGTTGGATTATCTGTTGCCTACATTTTTGTGGGCTTAGTTACCTTGGGTTGGAGTTTTCCTTCAAATACTTTCTGTAGGGCTGGATTTGTAGACATGTATTGGGAAAATCTGGTTTTGTCATTAAATATCTTGTTTTCTCCATCTATAGTGATTGAGAGTCTTGCTGGATATAGTAGCCTAGGCTGGCATCCGTGTTTTCTTAATACTCTTAGCACATCTATGCAGGACCTTCTGGCCTTGAGGGTTTCCATGGAGAAGTCAGGTGTAATTTTGATAGGTCTGCCTTTATATGTTACCTGTCCTTTTTCCTTCGCTGCTCTTAATATTCTTTCTTTATTCTGTATGCTAGGTGTTTTGATTATTATATGTCACGGGGTCTTTTTTCTTTGGTCCAGCCTATTTGGTGTTTGGTATGCTTGTTGTACTTTCATGGGCATGTCGTTCTTCAGATTTGGAAAGTTTTCCTTGATGATTTTGTTGAATATATTTTCGTCAACTTTGAACTGGGCTTCCTCACCTTCCTCTATGCCTATTATTCTTAGGTTTGGCCTCTTCATGGTGTTCCACATTTCCTGGATGTTTTGTGTTATGGATATGTTGGATTTATGATTTTCTTTGGTCGATGAATCTATTTCTTCTAGTTTATCTTCTGTGCCTGAGATTCTCTCTTCCATCTCTTGAATTCTGTTGGTTATGATTGTGTCTATAGTTGCCGATTTTTTGCCTAGTTTTTCTATTTCCAGCATTCCTTCAGTTTTTGTTGCCTTTATTTTCTCTATTTCAGTTTTCAAGTCTTGAACTGTTTCCTTCACCGGCTTAATTGTTTTTTTTTTTTTTTTTCTTGGCTTTCTGTACTTTCCTTAAGGAATTTGTTCATTTCTTCCACTTTTTTGTTTGTTTTTTCCTCCATTTCTTTAAGGGATTTTCTCACATCTTCGTTGAGGGCCTCTATCATTTTTATGATGGTAATGTTTAAGTCGTTCCCTTCTGCTTCCTCTGCTTTGTTGTTGTGTTCCATTCTAGTTGGTGTAGATTCCCTAGATTCTGGTGGTGTCATGCTTGTCTTTCTGTTGTTAAGTGTTTTCTTGTATTGCCTTCTTCCCATAGCTTCTTCCAGTAGGTGTTGGTGGGGTCTCCCCCTCTCTCTATGGTACTTCTCTGGTGGGCTTATGTGGGTCTGAGATTCAATATCTGTAGCTCTGTGTGGTCCAAGCTCTCTAGGATGTTTCTCCGCAGACAAGGACCCAGGGATGGGGTCAAGGAAGAGTATCCAGTAGAAGATGCCAGCAGGTACTCACAGTGGTCCAGCAGAGATAGGTGGATCTCAGGGAGGGGCCTGGCACTCCAGCAGAGGACTGGAGGTGGGGTCAGAGACCAAGCAGGTGAAAATTACAGGTGGTCCTGTGTGGGTAGTCAGGTCTCCTTTGTTCAGAGTTGCTTCGAGAAGTCCCTGAAGCAGGGTGGACTGTTGGCTCCACCCTCTGTCCCAGTGCTCAACCAGAGCAGCAGGACCGTGGGTAGGGTAGGGCACATGATAGGGTGAGGTTTGCTCGTGGTGTGGTTGGATGGGGGTGTATCAGAGCTCCAAGGGTGCTCTTGATGGGGACATGAGACAGGAGCAGTTTTATTTCTTCTTCACCTAACTAGAAATCTGTCTGTCTGGACTGTCATTTGAAATATTTAACTTTCTGAGACACTATCTCCCATTAGTACAGAACACTACACATTTATGTTTAAAAGCCTTCCATGCAAAAATCTAAGTTGAAATTACAGCTTAAATACTTCGTTTTAGCTTGAATGATACACCATTGTGTAGATAATTCAAGACTGTTGAAAATTGTACTAAAAATTGATTCTCCAAGTTTGTAAAATCCAATATTCTATACTCCAGGCAATCTTCATATTGCTCAGTCTCTGTAAATTAGATTATTCTTGAGATTATATTTAAGTCAAGGCAAGTTGGTCTTCTCTTTACAAATGCAATTAAGTCTCATGAGTGGAAATCTTGTTAACTATTGTCAAGATAATTGAAATTGATTTGTGTTTACTAAACATTGTGAATACTAATCAAATATTAAACACTCAAGTGTTCCAGGTGCATTTAAACCTTCGGCAGTCTCAGAAGTGCTTGAAAAGATTTCTTGTTCCAGAAGTCAGCATTCTGTTTCAACATTTTCTTCAAAATATATTAAGAGAAATGGAGAAGTGCCCTTCATTTCCTTCATGCAATTCTCTTAGTCAGGAAGTATTTGGAATCAATCCTGAGATCAAGTTATTTAGGTTTTCTTTCCATTTATGCAAACAACAAGCCTACTTTTCCACTGCTTCATTCCATTCCAGGTTTGCTGCTCTCTGCAAACTCCACAGTTGCAGAACTCCACAGACTAGGTCTTATAGGAGACAAATGTCACCAACCATTTGGAATTTAGGTTGGAGATAATGTCTAGCATCTCTCACGTGTCCTGGCCTAGTGACTTGGCTTGCTGAAGTAGCTTTTTCTTAATGGGATAGATGCACTGGCTCTATGAGCTTAAAGAAACTCTGTGATACAAAAATAAACCCATCACAGTCATTGGTTTTGAGGAAATTTTACAGTTGTTATTTAACCTGCTCCCTTATGCCCTGCAATATTCATTAGCAGATTCCTCTGTTTATGGCAGATATTATATGGAAATGGTTATGGGAAGCAAGCAGATGTAACTACTGAAATAAATTAGCAATAAAGTTCTGCTTTTTACAGATGGTTCTATCAAATATGCTTTCTCCCCTTTCATATTAACATGCATTTTTCTTTCAACAGAAAACTTTTCTATACTGACTATGGAGATGTTCCCAAAGTAGAAAGATGTGACATGGATGGGATGAACAGAACAAGGATAGTTTATTCTAAGGCAGAACAGCCAGCCGCCCTAGCATTGGACCTCATCAACAGATTGGTTTATTGGGTAGATCTCTACTTGGACTATGTGGGAGTAGTAGACTACCAAGGAAAAAACAGGCTCACTCTTGTTCAAGGTAGACAAGTAAGTACAATTTTGTAAGAAATTCAACTGTCATAATAAACTAAACATATGGTACACTTCTAAAGATTAAAATTGTAGCCTTGAAAATATTTTAAAGATAAGGTTTAATAGCTCAAAAACTTAAGATGCATATTTTATTTGGGAGGATGTTTTAGTCACAATGATACTAAATCATGCCCATTGTCAGGGTCCTCTAAGGGAATATAGTGAATGTGTGTGTGTGTGTGTGTGTGTGTGTAAAGGAAATTTATTAGAGTGGCCTATTGTCTGTGATTTGGTTAGTACAACAATGGTTGTTTCCTGATGGAAAGACAAGGAATCCAGTAGAGATTGGATGTCTGGGAGGTTTCACAGAGAGTTTCTAGTCTTCACTCTAGGTTCGAATCACAAAGACCTATGTTCTAATATCAGCAAGGGAATGCCTCAGCAATTCGATTGCTGACCTTGCTTGCCACAGTGATGATAAACCGGCAAAACAAACAAACAAACAAGCAAACAAAAACAAGCTTTCTTCTTCCATGTCCTTTTATTTGAGCTTGTTCTACCTAAGACTATCCTGTTTGGTTGGGGGGGGGGGGTCCGTCTCAAATGATCCAGTAAAGAAAATCCCTCACAAGTATGCTTGTAGTTAATCCCAGATGTAGCAAAGTTGACAGCCAAGATAAGCCATCACAATCATGACCCTATAGATGCCTCTTGCTTCTTTTTTTTCTCTGTTGAGAGCAAACAAACAGACAAAAGACCAGGATGCAAAAGTGCTATATTAGCAGGAGAGAGAGAGGGAGTTCCTTAAACAGGACAGATGTCATGGCCTACTTTCTGAAACTAATTCAAGCCATTTATTAAAATGGAGCTGCACCACCATCTGTCTCATGGGATATTAAAAATAGTTTGCTAACAAAAGCAAATGTGTGCTCACAAAAATATCCTAATTATTTTAATAGTGCTAGACATAATTTTGCTGACTTATTTGTGTGCTTCCTCAATGAGAATTTTGTGAAATTTCAAATATCATATTTCTTGCCTATACATAAAGGTTTTTATTTTCCTTTTTGTTTTCTAGACAATGATCCATAAATACCTTAATATATCTTTTCACTGATATTTTCCCCCATATTTATCTGACTCTTATATTATGTCAGTCTCTTGTGAGGTTTACAGTGAGTTGGTAGATTTAATGATTGCATCTCTTTGATTTCTGTTATACTTTGAGGTAGAAATGTTCTTTAATACCCTTTACAGTGACTTTTTCTCTCAACATCTTTATAATGCTATTTATTCTCGTTAATGAATGAAAATGTTGACATAGAACCTATCTGGTGTTGGGACAATTGTTTCCCTCATACCTTCAACTGTCCTAAAGAGCACAGTGTCTTTAGCTGACCTTGGTTATGCCCTTCCATGTAATTAATTTCTAAGATGATCATGATAGACTTTATTTTCCATTAAAAATTGAATGGGTAATTCATATGGTTTTCATCCTCATTACTTTAAAATACCATAGAGTTGGCTTAATGGTTAAGAGCATGAATAGCACTTCCAGAGGGCCTAAGTTCAGTTCCCAGCACCTAGGTATGTTGTTCATAACTTCTGAGTCAGGAGTCTGATACTATCTTCTGACCTCGGTAAACACTGCACTTACATGCACATATCCACACAAAAAATGCAAATATATGCATGTTTTAAAAAATAAATCTTTTAAATGTTAGTCTTTTAAATGTATTGCCTTCTCTCTACCCCCTCATTATTACTTTTGTTTTATTTGTTTACGTTTGTGTTTTCATGGGAGCACTATGAGACTGAAAGCCAGATCCCTCAGAAACAAATTACAGGTGCTTGCAATCTTTGAGCTTATTAGAATAGTGTTGTGATTTAATCTCTGATCCTCATGAGTATGCAGTAAGTCCTCTTTACTGCTGTGAAATCCCTATATCCTGTGTGAGGGCAGTCTAGAGGCTTATAAGTGCACATTTATGGAGGCCAAATATTGACCTTAAGTGCCCTTCTCTCGGGTGCCATCCAGCATGTTTTGAGGCAGGTTCTCTGGCTGGCCTGGAGCGCTTCAGTTCAGCTAGATTGTCTGGGAAGACTATATGGAGCCACCTGACATTGGCACCCTAATTCTAGGATGATAAACCCACATTCTACATTCATGCATTTTCTGGAAATTAGTAAAGCAAGTAGTTTGACAATTGAGGCAGACTCCCAGCTATAGAATGCTTAGAATGCTTAGTTATCCTTTTTTTTTTTTTTTCTTATTTCTGTTGCCTGTGTTTGGCTGGCTCCTTTAACATATGCAGAGTCTGGCACCAAGTAATCCGATGTAGATATAGTCTTTAAAGTTTTAAAATATAGAAACAGATTTATATGAAGAAAAGTGAGGAGCTGTTGATAAAGCAGTTTTTGCAAAGTGAACAGATTTTTCTACCTTGGCCAATTGTCTTTTATGTAGTTATGGTTTCCTCTCTAGGTTGTGAACTGATGTCTTTTACAAAATAATATTAGAACATCATAATAACAATCACAATATGAGGAGGTCTCACACCCTGACAAAAACAGGGGAATGCTGCTTGTTTATAGCTTTTAATGTGAGGAAATCTTTTCCTAAATCAATGATAGTCCATTGCTTCATTTGTTGGCTATTAAATCAGCTGTATGAAAAATGATACTAGTAAATACACATGTCCCTTCCCTCACAGCATAAGCAGTTACTAAGATGAAACAATGGGCAGTTATTTTGAGCTTAACATGGATCAAACCTTTATGTTAATCTTGCCTTTCATTTCTATACTGGACAAGAAGAAATAGACAATCTTGAAAAAACATGAAAGCCAGTTTTCTTTTCCTCACACCCCATAAAAGTACGAGGGTATTACAATGGCTCATCTAAGCTAGAACTATAGAACTGGCAAGGTATTTTATTAAGAAAGCTTTACAAATCTTTATTAGTTGTTTTTACAAACAAAATATATACTCTCAACTGAAGACCTTTGTATTTTAACAGAGTTCACGATAGTGTCTCTAGAAATGGTGACTGACCAATGGTTCTCATAAGAATCCTTAATATATCTAGTAGTAACTCCAGTTATCCAGACCAGAATCATTTTAAATTGTGTATTATTTAAGAAAAGCCTTACTCTCCATTCCCAGCAGTTCATAAAACTAGGGTCTAGTCTCCTTTCTACTCTACTGGAAGATTCTATGAACTTCAAGAGCTCAATTCTTACTTCAATACACATACCTTTACCAAAACAGAGTTACAGTGTCAAGATACTAATCTAATTGTATCAATAGGCATCATAATGGCATTTGACTTGCCAGTATGAATAGGTTTTAGAAATCATGACATTTTTTAGTGACATGATGAAATTTTATTCACCATTATTGCACATATGTGATTTCTTTATATACTCCACACTGCAAAAAATATTAGCCTAATATAACTTAAGACAAAAATGTGACTTTTACCATATGAAACAAATATTCAAAGTTGCTTACTTCTTAGATCATTAGGACATAGCTATGATTTTACAGTGCCTAAGTATCTATGATTATATGAGCAAGTCGCCTATAAAATTTCTCAAATATATGAATTCTGACAAAGCAAATTAATGAATACATTTCAATGTCTGGTTCTTGCTAGTTTTGACAGAAACTATAAAGCGTATATTCCTGGTGAAACATGAATATAATTATTTCCCATGCATATAAAACTATTTTATCCACTACTGTGTCATATCCTCCACTAAAATGAATAGAAATTATTGGAATGTTTCTTTGAAAGAAAATAAATAATAATGTCTGACTGACTCTGGACATTTTTCACACTTGTAATACTAGTTTTTCTTTCACATTAGAAGCAGCATAATTAAAAGTCTTAGCTATGTTTGATGCTCTTGCAGGTTAAACATCTCTATGGTATAACTGTGTTTGAAGATTATTTATATGCAACCAGTTCTGAGAATTTCAATATCATACGAATAAACAGATTTAATGGAACCGATATTCAGTCAATAATTAAAATGGAAAATGCTCGAGGAATCCGAACCTATCAGAAAAGAACTCAGCCAACAGGTAAGCCATTGGAGATGCTTAATCGCCTCCATAACATCAGCTGCAATGGGAACATAGTCCTTGTGCTTCTGTGTGGTTTTAAAGAGGGTATCATAAATTCTCTGTTTTGACAGCAAAAATATGCTTGTCTGCTTGATAGAATAGATAGAGCTCACTTCTCAAGTCTAAATGACAAACTGCTCAGCTCCTATCAAATCATTTTTACAACCATGGGATTAAAATGATGCCTCAGTTTGGTCTCAGCAAGGAGCTCTCCATTGTGATGTATGTAGACAGGCAGCTCAGATGCTAAGGTTTATTTCTGGATTTCACTATTACTTTTTGGAGTCAATATTCAGACCAGGTTATTTGTTGTGGCACTTGCCTGGTGTCAACTAGTCATAGGTATGGTTCTCCTGATTTAATACCCAAATAGCTTTATATTTTTAAAAATGTCCATTAAAAACCTTAAAAAGAATAGCATTAGTTTTAAGTGTTTTCAAAAGACACACCATAATTATTTTTATGGTAGGTAAATAATGCTACTCAGCAGCCCAATTTAGGCCCAGTTATATAGCATTATTTTAAAACAGAACATCACTACCTTAGATGACTATCTTTCTATATTTATGTCCCAATTTAAAACTAACCTATATTATTAAACATCCGTGTATATGAATCCATCTGAGGCAGTGTACTGTCACAAACAGATTTGAAACAAATTCAATTTTTAACTTTGCAGACAAGTTTATTAGAATTTGATGTTAGGTTTTCTGTATTTACTATTTATTCAAAGGCAATTATCATGCACCAAGATTTATTCTATATACTGGGAATATACTAGTAAACTAAACACAAAGTATTTTTCTTTTTTTGCCTTTATTGAACTTACATCCTAGTGGAGACAATACTATATAAAATGTATATGTAAATTATATTTTTCATTAGAAACAATAACTACCACAGAAGAGAAGGGCAGAGAAAGAATATCTAGAGCATCAGGTATGGAGAGGTTAAAATTTTTTGTTGAACAGGCAAAAGCATTCTCACTAGAAAGATGCTGCTGAATTCGTACTTCAAAAACTTGAATAATGAAAAGCATAGTGATCTCTGGAGTGACCAGTTTGCAGAGAGAGAGAGATCTATAAGCTCAAAGCCATGGGTGATTCACGGTTAAATTGCCAAGGAATATCCAAGAGTTCTATGTCTGAAGAAAAATAAATAAGGACAAGAAATCAGGAAACAAAATTGGGAAGCCATAGATTATGTAGCAAGGAGGAGCTTGTAGAAATTCTAAGAAACAATTCAACAAAATATCATGATATGTGTGGTCTTTATGAACAATCCATAAATGTATGGAACTGACAACAGGTTGTTCGGGAAGGCAGATGATTAAAAAAGGTGGTAGATTGTTCCAAGACAATAGTAGTCAAATAAAGAAAAGTAGGAGTTAAATTCTGGATTTATGAACATACCTTGGATGGGATATAAAAGATAAAGTGTCAGGAATAATGACAATTGTTTAGTTAAAAAATTTGAAAGAGCATATATTGTAAAAATGAAATATAAAAAAAATTTAGAAGTGAAGATTGAGTTCAGTCTTTTGGGTTATTTCAGATGTCTATTATAAACTTAAATGTGGATATTAAAAGATACATGCATGTACAAAACTATGTGTTCAGTGGGGAAGACCAGGTGAAGTGATTGACATATAAGCAATATTTAACACCATTATAATAGCTGCGAACACTGAGGAAGTATGTTTATGTGGATAACTGTTGCAAATAATGACATTGGAACACAACATCAGTAAGTCAAGAATGGAAAAATCAAACAATGACACCAAGGACCAGTTCAGAAAATCCAAGTGACCTTTGAACTTAACTCTGTGAATCTGTGAAGCATTGGACAGTGACATTTTTATGACACTATGCAATTGAAGTTGGTTTGAAGGAGGCTGAAGGAATGGAGATGCAGAAAGTGAGCAAAGCACGTTGAGAACCACGAACCTTAGGTTAATGAGTACAATGAAAAGCTAATTCTTTTCTGAGATGCATAAATCCTGGAACACTTGCATGCTTATAGTCAACAAAGAAAGAAAATGTGCTAATGAAAAGGAAAAAGGGAAGTGATGATGATGACAGGATGTTTTATTACCGAAGCTACTCGAGAAGCCTTAAGACATCACTCATCTGTAAAAGCATTCACCAAAAGAACCAAAAGAACATTTCGCTCAATTTTTTTTTTTTCATCTTAGAAAAATGATGGACACAGAAAGAAGATGCTATTATTTTCAAAGTAAACCAGTTTGGCTGTAAAATCAGTCATGATATTCACCTCACTTTCAACTAAGAGCTGATATAAAGTGTAATTCTAAGAATAGTCAGGCTTTTACAAACACAGTGAAAATATTTCATCTCTTTGACCATAATCTTTCTTATTCACATGGTCACATTTTGTTCCTCTCTAATTCTAAACATTCATGAAGCACATTTCATGCCATAATTTTCTTGGGGAAATTCAGCCTCCAATTTTCTACAACTCCAGCCATACACACACTTTATTTATTAGCAGGGTTCTCACAATAGCAATATACTTTAATATTAAAAACATCTGTTGTAATTTAAAGTTTCTCAATAGTTTAGATAGTACAAAAATCCTGTCTCTTCCAGTGTGTCTGCCCATATGCTGATGGTGGCAGAGAAGAAACTTTGCTCACGTCCCTACAGTGGGATCATTTTTCTATAATTTTTAATGCTTTTTTATCTTTGATTTTAAATATCATTTAAATAAGCACACAAAGCTTGTTCCTAAAACAACAAAGCATGTTAGTTTTATTTGCATTTGTATGAACACATTAATATTTCTCCAATTTTTAAAAATTTATCCCAAGGATGTTTTGCCAATCCTTTCCCTATTGTATAGAGTTTAATATTTGTTCCCATGTTATGATAGTACTCAATAGTGGAAAATATAACATTCTGCTAAGATTCCATGTTCTTACTTTATAAGTTTTACACATAATTGCCTTGCCTTGTGTTTTTTTTTTTTTTTTTTTTTGCCTTTTTTTTTTTTTTCTGTTGTAGTCAGAAGCCACGCCTGTGAATTGGATGCACATGGACTGCCAGGGGGCTGTTCACACATCTGTCTGTTCAGCAGCAGTTATAAGACAAGGACCTGTCGCTGCAGGAGTGGCTTCAACTTGGGGAGTGATGGCAGGTCATGCAAAAGTATGTTGTTAAACATTTTTTCCAGCAGGCACCACTTCACAATACATTGTTTTTTGTTTGGTTATTTGGTGTTTTTGTTGTTGTTGTTGTTTTTTAATTATCAGCATCAACATCGAAAAGAACCAGAGACTTAATGTGAAATTTGTCAGCAAGTATGTGTAATAGACAGTCTCCCTTCTCAAGCCAGGGTTTACCTGTATTTTAGGCAATGAGAATGAGGTACTCATCAGGCTGAATAGCTACCAACCTTGCTCACCTTAGGGAGCCATCAAAGAATGTTTTAAGGAAATGCTATTTTAGTTTTTAATTTACTGAATGGGGTTCATGAAATGAACCATATTCATGGTTGTCTCTATTTTCCTCTTATCTAAACCAATATGATCCTCAAAATAATTGTCTTCTTTGACTGACAGGAGTCCCCATGTAGCAATAGTGTACCAATGCACACCTTCCCACAGTAGCAATGGGACTGAAGTTTACTTCATTATTTCATGTTTCATTAGTAATGGTAATTTAGTATCAATCCATTTAATGATTTATCAAAACGTCACCAAAGATTATAAGCTGTTATAAGTTTTTATTTTTTTATGTTTTTTTAAGATTTGGCACAGTAATTTAATGATTATTTTCAAACATAATAACAATTTTTAGAAGAAAAGAAATAAACAAAATGCATGTTTAACTTGTGTTTTTGTATTTGAGTTAAATGGTGGGAACATAAAGATATCTGGACTGAAGTTAATGAACCTGTCTGGATAAATGAGGTCCTAGATTTGAGACCTACAGATAGAAGCTGAGTGTGTCTGCACAACGTATAGCATAACTAAATGGACTACTGTCTTTGAGAAAGGATAGCATGTCATGAAAAGGTATAATCACATACACGTATTCACACCATGTACACAAACATCATTGGGGGAAACCCTGAGCTCAGATTTGCATTTCATAGAACTTTGTCCTTTTGGTGCATAAATCACCACAAACAATTCTAGCTATACTAAATAAAAATAGATTCCATACAAATTGATTCTTGATCTTTCAAACTCCATAAGCTCCCACTAGCAGGAAGTCAGCCACCTGGCACTATCAAAGGCCAGGGCAACAGCAATCCACAGAGGGAAAGGTTAATGTAAAAAACAGAATGTTTTATCTGAGGTCAGGGGGTTAGGAAGCTAGAAATGAGTTTACTAATTCCAGAATGACATCATGTGTGCCAACCTTCCAATTCATGTGGAGGTGCCCTGTCTCTTTCCTTTGTTATTCCCAAGGGTAAATTGCCTGAAGAACACTATAATGAAAACACATAAGTTTTCTACTGGATGTTTATCTACATAGAAACTATAAAGAGACATTTTCCTACACTTTAACTGTAGAATGGAATTATGAACTTAAAACCAGAAGCCAACCTTTGTCACAGTCTGTAATTAAATTTCAATTCTGATTGTATATAGAACACACACACAAAAAAAAAAAAATAAAATAAAAACCACACACATGCGCACGCACACAGAGAGAAAGAAGAAATTGCAAAATAGGTATGAAGGAATGCCAAAATAAGAAATGTAAGTACCATTCTTACAATATTAAAGGTCACATACAGAGAAAATATGTTTACCCATTAAACATTGAAAATTCATTAATAATATAAATTAAAATGTACTATGATAAGTACTTTACTGTTTCCTTACTACAATGCAGAATTATACTGGCATTTAAAAGAACATTTTTGGAAATACTTTAATGATATAACCAAATATCTATCAACTTAATGGTGCTAATTTTTGAAAAATAAACTAATAATTGGACATGATTTATGTCCAAAACCATTTTATAATTCCAAAAAAAATGAAGCTCCCGGATGAACTACTTTTATATCACATAAAATATTACTTTCTAGTAAAATACCTTAGAAATTTGATAGATATCAAGAAATTGTGAAAACACAGCTAAGGTTATTTACATACCTTATCTTATAATTACACCTAAAGAAAGGTGTGAAATAGTAGAGAAAAAGGAAAATCACATCTCAGTGCTAGGATAATATCATAAAGTCAATATTTAAATGGCATAGCAATCTTTTTATTTTTGTAAAGGGAACCATGTAAAGCTTTATATAGTCAATCAATACAGACCATAATTTAAAACTAATAATAATGTAAAAATTATTTATAACATGCAATGTTCCTTTTGCATAATTTAATATATATATTAAAACAAAGGAATTCAAGTTCTTAATGGTCTAGGAAGCAAGGGTTAGAAACAGGGTAAACATATAAAACTACATTATATATTTAGGTAAAATGCAGTTATGCATTCATCATTGTATGTAATGAATTTGTGCCAACAAACATTAAATATCACTGCAATATTTTATATATATATGTATGTTTAAAATACTAAACAGTGGTGAAATGTACAATATGAGATATTCCATGTGTGGTTATTTATTTTAATGAGAATAAAATTAATTTATAAAGTCCAAAAAGCCATTCAACTAGACAAAATTAAACCCTTTGATAATGGAAAATACATAGAATATTTAAACACGTGATTTATATAAAATTTTCTGATGGACACTACATGGCTATCTAAGAATTACATTTGTAGAAAAAAAAAACATAAAGCAGAAGAAAAGAATTTATTAGGACCTCAGACAGCTTGTCAGACTTTATTTAATGCCGCAGAGTTGTCATCTTTCATTTTGGTCACATGATCATGGCACAGTACCTATTCAATGACCTGATTTCAAAAGAAAGCATGTTCATTTTTTAAAGTGTAATTTTTGTAGTTCAAAATAGGGAAGTGGTAAGGTTTTTTTTTGTTGTTGTTGTTTTTTGGTTGTTTTTGTTTATGGACAGAAAAATTGCCTAGCTGCTTTCCTTCAACAGCTGTTCTTTGGACTTCATGGTACATTGTCTTTTTCTCAAAATGCTAGGTTTCTGAGGTAGTATAAGCAGCTTTTCTCTAGTAGTTTCCAAATAGCTGGCTTCCTGGAACACCAAACTCAGTTTAGGACATTAGGTTTGTTTTTTTTTTTTTTTTTTTTTTTTTTTTTTTTTTTTTTTTTTTGTGTGTGTGTGTGTGTGTGTGTGTGTGTGTGTGTGTGTGTGTTGAGGGATTCCTTTAAAACAAAAAAATCTGACTGACCTGAATCTGATCTGAAAGGTGGGAACCTGGACCCCAAATGTCAACAAGATTCATTAGCACAACACCTGAAATTTATGCAGTAGTTGTCGAACGCATCTGGCAAGTAGTGTTTATATACTTCCTCTATTTTGAAGCATCATCTACTAGACTTGGACACTGAAGAAACATACTCAGCCCAGATATAGCACAAAATGTTATGAGGGTTGTGCAAGGCCCTTCCCCATTAATAATAGCAGTAAACACATGTGAGGGTTGACTGCATTGCAAGTAAAGCAGGGAGAACCAGTGTTGCAACCTTTGAGAGATGTGCAAGAAAATTGCGGTGCAGGGTATTCACTGAAATTTTTCTTTGTGAGTGATGCAGTTGTCTTTAAATTACTCTTGCTTATTTAAAGAATGAAAGAAAGGAAGGAAGGATGGACGAAGGAAGGTAATAGGAAGGAATGAAAGAAAAACAAGGAAAGAAAAACCAAGGAAAGAAAACACAAAGGAAAGACAAAGAAAAGAAGACCACCATGAATTTGCATTTTAGTAGCTATGGAGGCTGTTTTTATTTGTTTAGAGATTTGGGTTTTTTGTTTGCTTCTATTGAGGCCTGTATTATACATCAGATTTCCCGACAGACAACATTGCCACCTCTGACATTACAATTATGCTGTGAAGTAAATGGATGCTATCAGCTGGCATTGATTCATTTCTTATACATATTAGTCACCTATTTGGACAGCAGAACACAATAATGTTCGTGTTCATTTCCCTGATACCTTGTGTATCTTTTGTTAGCACTCATACTCTCTATGTGGTAGCCCTGCACTGCAGTGTTTTAATTGGCCTGAAGTTTTCAGCACTGTCAAGTGTAATGAGTCCAATAGATAGGATCTTCAGAAAGCGTTAGCTTGATTGTAATGAATTAAACAATTAAATGTACCAGATATTTCAATAAATTTCCATTTCACAAGTTACAAGTTATTCAATGATCTGTCATGTTTTTGCTATACAGACAGAAGAATAATTAACTAAATATAACCCATTCAGTGAAGTAATTTCTGGTTTAATTAAAGTAATGCAATTAGCTAGCCTTCTTGCATCAAGATCCATTTGGCATATTTTGGAGTTTAATTTCTAGTATTGAATTTTAAAAAAGTCTAATTGTGCCAGTTAATTAAACAGTGACATTCTGCAGTGTAAAGAAGATTAGGTGGCATGGCTTGTTTATGTTTGTAATCTTTCTTCTGCAGGGCCAAAGAATGAATTGTTCCTCTTTTATGGGAAAGGACGCCCAGGAATTGTTAGAGGAATGGACCTGAATACCAAGATAGCTGATGAATGCATGATCCCCATAGAAAATCTGGTCAACCCTCGTGCTTTGGATTTTCATGCAGAAGCTAATTATATCTACTTTGCTGACACCACCAGTTTCCTAATTGGCCGGCAGAAGATAGATGGCACAGAGCGAGAAACAATCCTGAAAGATGGTAAGTGACATTGTGATATTAACATCAAAGTGCTCAAAGATAAAGGCCTTTAAAGACTACATCTACTATGCTTCTTAGTGTTGAGTAGATTCCATGTACTGCTTATTCATTTAAAAATATTTTATAATATTATCATCCCATTGACATTAATTTTCATGATTTACCCATCCCTGTATACTAATATGTCTTTGAAAGACTGAACTTGAATTGTCCTGTTCATTTTAAACACTTTAGTAAGTAATTAGTGGTACTATTCACTTTTTGGAAAAATGTAGATAGAATTACAATGATGACTTCATAGACTTCATGGTACAATATAAGTTTTAACATGTCAAAGAACTATGTTTTTGTTTTCTTTAGAAAACTTCTTATCCTGATAAAAGTACCAGTGTCCTTATTGCCATCAAATTCTAATGCACTGAGTCTTATTCTAACAATTAATGGAATTGTGTAACTTTGTTCTTTAAGTATCAAATATCTTTAAAGAAACTTAAAGACATACTTAATTTAATTTATCAATACAAATGTAGTAATACATGTAATATTGTATAAACATTATGTCCATGTAATCTGCTTAAAGCAGTACAAAACAGTAGAAAGAACAGCTAATGAAATAATAACATAACATAAGTAGAAATACAAAAATCTAATTCTAAACCAACAGATGATTAAGTAACTTTCTATCATAATTCTGGCTCTTATTTTCCTCATTTTAAAGCCTACTTACTTATTGAGTAGTTTAGAAGTCTCTGAAACAAGAGTCATTAACTCGATTCTTATAAAGTACAGTTTACTAGCCTATTGTATAAGTTAAAAGTTAAAAAGAATTTTAGGAAATGTCTATCTTAGTGAACAATATAAGTACATGGAAAACATAAAGCATTACAGTATTTGATTAAAGAGATCTAAACCAACATAAAGAAACATGTAGTTAATAGGGATTGCCAGGCAATGTGTATCAACAGGAAGGGGTAGACAACCTTACATGGATCAGCAACTTCTTATGCACCATGGTATTTGTGGAGTACATCTTAAAGGGGAGATATTAAAGGCAGAGAGAAAAATTTATGCAGCCTTAAAAATATGGTAAAATACTCTCCAGATATAGGATTAATACACTCAATGGATCACTATTTGGGGAGTTCAACTTGCAGATAATAGTGACAGAAGGTATTTATGCAAAGTAGATCTTGATCTTGAAAGGAAGTAAAGAAAGGGCTTTGCACAAAAATGTTAAAGTTGGAAATATTTCTAATATAAGAAAAATGTCACAGCCATATTTTTAGGAAGACCCATGCAGAGGTAGGATACACAAGGAGCCAGAGAACATACAGACCCAAAAAGAGAGCTGGATGCTTCCATAAATATCTGTGAAATGGGACAAGAGACTCAGGGGAAGATGATTCACTCAACTTAGCTATATTTCAAATCAAAATATCAATAACCAAAAGTTCACTCTAATGGAAGCAAATGAAGTTTCAAAATAAAATGTGTCATTTTCACATTTTAAAAATACTTCCTGATTAAAGAAATATGTCACCATGATTTCATATTCTCAAAAAAAGTTCTAACTAAAGCTTTTGCTTTCATTGAGTCTGGAAGAAGATTTCTTGCTTCTGGTCTCTGAAATGGGATATCAGATAGTGGGACAAGAGACTTGAACTTTCTTGCCAAACAGATCATTTGGAATCTTTTATTTTTAAAAGAACCTTTTATGAATCATGAAAATATAATAGCATTGGACAGAACCAACTCCTCTCAATGTGGGTGCCAGTTAGGAGGCCTGGGCAGTGTAAGGGACCTCTGACAGTGGAACTAGTATTTATCTTCAGTGCACATATGGACTTTGCCAGCCCATTCCCCATGGAGTAATACTCTCTCAGGCCAAATACATGGAGGAGTGCCTAGGCCCTTCTGCAAATGATGCGACAGATTTTGATGTTCCCCCATGGAAGGCCGCACCCTCCTTGGGGAGTAGATGGAGATGGGATGGGGGTCTCAGTTGGGGGTGTGGGAGAATAGAAGGAAGAGGGAACTGGGATGTAAAAAAGGAAAAAAGAGTATATAATAGAGAGGGTCTTGGTTTCTGTTATGATAAAGCTTGAGGGGAACCTCGGCAAATTCCATGGTGGGCAAGATTGGCATAAGTTGGGTACAAACATACTAGACAGACAGAGCTTAAGTGAGAAGTTTTATTAGTGAGGAGAGGGATGGCAAAGGAAAGTGAAAAGAGATAAAGAGACACAGAGAGGACAGAAGAGAATAAGGAGACAGGAAAAGTCCTGTCTGCTCAAGGGAACAGCAGGAAAGAAAGCAGAAAGAGAGCATAAACGATCAGGTTTCTATCTTATAAAGGGGTCCTTTGCAAACCTATAATGACTCCCTCTTTTATGGTATCTCTCTCTCTCTCTCTGTCTGTCTCTTACCTCTCATCTATTCCTCCTCTGACTCAGTCACCCTGATCCCACATGCTTTCCTGTCCTCCCCTTCTTATTGCTAGCTTCCTCTCCACTCACTGTTCCCCCAATCCTATTTGATAGAGACCTACAATATTGACCCCAACTAACAATTTGAGTAACAATGGAAAGGCTACCTTAAATGTCCTTTCCTGTTAATGAGATTGATGACTAACTTATCCACCATCATATACCCCTCATCAGGTAGCTGATGGAACCAGAAGCAGACACCCATAGCTAAACACTGAGCCAAACTGGAATCTAGATGCAGAGAAGGAGGACAAGACCAGTTTACAGAAATGCACAGATAGCTGACCTAAACAAGAAGGAACTAATGGGCCCCCAGACTGATATCTGGGAATCTAACATGGGATTGACTCAGACCCCCTGAACATGGGTCTCAGTTAGAAGGCCTAGGCAGTCTAAGGGACCTCTGACTGTGGAACCAGGATGTATCCCTGGTGCACAAATGGACTTTAGGAGCACATTCCCCATGGAGGGATACTCCCTTAACTTATAGGCAGGAGGAAGGGCCTAGTTCTTACTCCAAATGACTTGACAGATTTATATTTTCCCTTCTGGAAAGCATCACCCTACATGTGGAGTAGGGGATGAAAGGGATAGGAAAGTGGTTGGAAGTGGCATGGGGGGAGAAAAGGGGAGTAGGGAGGTAGAGGGAACTGGGATCGTTATGTAAAATAAAAATTAATTAATTAATTAACTAATTAATAAAAGGTGTTCTTTGCATTTGCATGCAGACTAGTAGTCATGGAACCCTAGGCTTACCAAGGTACTGCCTGAGTTATAGGGGCAGGCCAGCATAATGCCTGCATTCTAAAATTTTCCTAGTAAAAAGGGTCAGTTTGTTCTGAATAAAGGTCAGTGAGATTAGTGCTGCTTTACATAACAACAGAGAGGGGCTGCATAGCCACTGGCTATCAGTATTATCTCTTCACTCCTAACCTGATTTGACAGTTATAAGAACCTGCTGCCAGTCTCTCACAAGTGCAAAATATTTAACAATCATATTCTTCTAAAACAGAAGACATAGTTCTTTATCAGTTGTGTTCTTACATTTTCTTTTCAAAAGAATAAAAATCCTCATTATAATATAATATAGATATTGGAAATACTAAAGTTACATTGGCAAATCAATTTTTTCTGGGTGTTATGTTATGGATTGGCAAGTATGGTTGTTCACAACTTGGGCTAGATGCTTCCGTGTCCCACTTGTTTTTAATGTTTCTGTGAAGAGTTCTCTGTTGTTAGGATCAATTGACCTTCATATGTGACTTGACTCTTTCCAAACTTTCTAACATTCTTATTTTGTATACTTAGTGTTTTAACTGTGATATCACCTGGCCATTTTCCTTTCTGGTCCCTTTTCTATATGGCTCTTGTTTTTTAATGAGTTTTCTTTTCATTAGGTTGGAAATCTTTTCTGTTATGAGGTAATCTTTAACTTGTCATCCTCTGTCTTAGCATTCTGAATAGTTGGGACCTAGGCTTTTAGTACCAGACTCAAACATTCATCAAGTATTTGAGTAATATAATTTCACAATTTTATGAGGTAGCAATTTTCAGCATAAACTGAAACAGGAGAAATATATGCAAACAGATTGCTTAATTGTTTCTAGGATTATATGTTTCCTATTTGATATTTATGTGGAAATATTATGAGCATGGGAATACTTTTATTAAGTTAATAATTGTGCTATTGTTTAGGTTAGTTCAATTAAAATAAGAGTCTCATAAATCATTTTCACCAGCTCACCCTGTGGGAGTAGCAAATATCCATATTAAAACTGAGCAGTAAACATGAAGATAGTTATTAGAAAAGAATTTTGGGGAATGCTATAGGTCACGTCTGTGTGTTTGCTAAACACCTTGATTCTTAACCAAGATAAAAATATATTTTCATCTCCATATGTAACAATTAATATCAAGAAGCTTTCTTTCCCCATACAAAATTTAGTTAAGTTCCAGTCCTTTTTTTTAAAAGAAACTCACAACCATACTAAAATCGAACAAACAAAGAACAAAACATTTTAAGCTGAAGTGTAGCTTTAATGTGGTGTCTAGAATGTGTGGCTCACTATATACACATATGTATGAAGATTCAAGTTCAATGGAATAGCAAGCCTACTCTGTGCCTCATTTGTGGGGCTTTCTGAAGGGGTGGCATTGCTAAAAGACTTAATTCCTCTCCTATTGCTCTGTCTCTCATTTGCAATCCTCCTTGACACTGCAGTCTACTCTCTTGGTGTCTGCTTTCTGTGCCTCTTCCCTGCTCAGCTTTGTGGGTTGCAGTAAGGGAATAGGAACAGATTTTTATGAACAAGTCAGGTTGTAAGCAGACCCCTTTATGACTCTGGGGTAGTTTTAAAATTAGTTACATAAAAATGTTTGCCAAATGTCACAGGGTAAGGTTGTAGTCCTAGCTGAGGCGGGAAAATTGACTGGGACCATGCCTTCAGGGATAACTTGGGAAATGGAGCAAGAATCTCTATCTTTAAAAAGTAAAGAAATAAGAAAATGTAAAGT